GTGCTAGGATTACAAGTATGCAACACCACGCCTGGCTTCCACAGTGAATTTAAAGTCAGCATGAACTACATAGCAAGTCCCTATCTCAAAAAAAATAAAAAAAAAGAACCACTCCCTGTGCCATCGTCCCCTCTGCTGGGGTTCAGGGCTCTTCCTGTAGTGTCCCTTGAGACAACAGCCCCTGGGGGCTGGAGAAGGTGGGTAGGAGGGCACAGGACGTGCTCCGTCCAGCCCTAGGCCAAGTTCTCTCCCAACCTGTCTGGGACCACAACTCAGGTACCCTCAGACCTCACTCGGACCGAGGTCCCCTCTTCTGCCTCCTGTCTCTCTCGCTCATCTCTCTCGCTCATCTCTCTCGCTCATCTGACCCCACTTCTTCTGCCCTGTGGCCAGCCAAGTTCCTGATGAAGCCTCCTCAGGCCACCCGGCTCACGTTTCTCTCTCCCCTTCCGGGAGGCCTCCCGCTTTTGTAATTAGTACCACCCTGCTAGGGCTTAATGGTTCCAAAACCATTTCACATGTCCCACTTATCTGACAACTGCGTCCTACACGATGAAGACAGGCATCTCACAAAGCACATTGCAGGGTGTCCACGATGCCCACCCTGCTGGTTCCCGGGGAGCCCTGCCCCACCCTTCTCTAGAGCCCCCAGTCCCTCTCCCCCTCCCCCAGCCACCCCCAAATACTCTGCTCCCTGGAATGCAGAACCAACCCGAGGTGAGATTCCAGCAGCTGGGCCTCATCCCCTTCGCCCCAAAGGCCAGACACGCCCCCAGCAGCTGTGGTCAGGGCTGCTGGCTGCCTCTCCCTCACCCCTGCCCTTGGGGAGGAGAAATGCCACCCAGGTTAGGCTGTCACCAGTGGGCCTCGGGACCTGGGTGGACGAGGACCCAGCAGAGCGGGGGGCAGACGGGTGGAACAAGCCCAGGGCAGCTCGGGGCTGCCCGCAGTCCTTTGGGGGCTCCCAGGCTGAGTCAGGAGGATGGAGGGCTCAGGATGGGAGCTGGGGGCTCAGATGGGGAGGAATGTGTGCGAGAGATGCAGCCAGAGCCCAGAGGGAATCATCCCAACAACAGCAGCAAAACTATGTCAGGCCCAGCCCAAGAGAAACACACTGTGAAGGGAGGAAGCCAGCAGGGAGGGAGGCGGCCGGGAAGGAGCCCGGCGCTCCCTGTCACTAGGAGATGGCTCCACAGGTGGCACCAGCTGCCTGCTGCGCCAGGGGCACCACTGGCAGCCCGGGACACGGGAAGCACCTCTCCTTCCCCAGGGAGCCTCACCTGGCGGCCTGTGGGGCGGCTCCCGGGGGACAGGCAGGACAAGCGGTCCGCAGCAGCGCTGGGGAGGGCAGCCGAGTGGGTGAGGCTCTGGAAGCTGAAATGGGCGGATGACGGTGCGGCCCCACCAGCCCACCCGGGAAGGAAGGGGGCTCCCAGGCTCCTCTAATCAGAATCAGATGGCTCCAGGTGTCACCCGCTGCTCACCTGTGGCCAATAGGTGCCTCTCCCATGAGGCCCAGGGGGCTGCTGGGAGGCGGGGTGAAGGGGCTGCCTGGCCGGGGGCTGAGGGAGGCTGGGCTGGAGTAGGAGGACCACAGGGAGGACTGGCTGTCGGGGCGTGTCCTCAGGGAGCCCTGTGGAGAGAGCGGCCGTGAGAAGAGCTGGGCTGGCACCCCTCCACCCGGCCCAGCCACGGTCCTCAGGGTGGTGGGGCTCTGGGCTCCTGGCTGGTGGCGCCAGCGTACCTGGAAGCGAGTGGCCAGCACTTCCAAGGAGCTGTCACCATTGGTCTGTCCAGGAGAGGCAGCCCGAGACCTAAGGAGACAGCGAAGGAGAGGAGTGTCACAAGTCCCAGTCCCCAGCCCCTCCTCCCTGAGACGCTGTTCTCAGACCTGGTTCTCAAAAGTGAAACACCCAGGGCATCTGCAAGTTGCATTGTCAACTTATCTTTTTTGTGTGGTGTGTAAGGATTTCTGAGACAGGGTCTCACTATGTAGCCCAGGCTGGCCTTGAACTCATAGCTATCCTCGTGCCTCAGCTTCCCAAGGGCTGGGATTACAGGTGTGTGCCATTGTGCCCAGCTCACATTGTCAACTTTTAACTTTGCCAAATTCAAAACAAACATTATCATCAACCCATTTTTTTCTTTTTTCTTTTTTTGTCTTTTTTGAGACAGGATCTCACTATGTAGTTCAGGCTGGCCTTAAGCTCACTTTGTAGCCCCAACTGGCCTCAAACTTGCAATGATCCTCCTGCCTCAGCCTCCTGAGTGCTGGGATTACAGGCATGTTCCACCACACTCAGCTCATCAACCCATTTCTTAAAAGGACAAGCTGGACAAAGTGGTGCACATCTACTACTTTTTTTTTTTTTTTTGAGACAGGGTCTCACTATGCAGTTCAGGCTGACTTTGTTTTTTTTTTTTTGGTTTTTTTTTGGTTTTTCTCCGGTACCGGGAACCGAACTCACGACCTTGCGCTTGCGAGGCAGGCGCTTTTGCCGCTGAGCTAAATCCCCAGCCCCCAGGCTGACTTTGAACTCACTATTTAACCCAGGCTGACCTTGAACTCATAGTGATCCTCCTGTCTCAGCCTCCTGAGTCCTGGAATTACAGGTGGGCATACCTGTAATTGCTGCTCTCTGGGAGGCTGAGGCAGGGGGATGGTAAATTTGAGACCAGGCTGAGTAACATAATGACTTGGCGAGACCCTGCCTCAAAACAAAAAAATAAAAATGGCTGGGGATGTAGCTCAATATGAAGGCCTTGGGTTCAATCCCTAGTGCCAAAAAGAAAAGAAATGGGAAAATTTAGGGCCAAAAACGGGACATACTTTCATAATCATAATTTCAACAAAAAGTTCCATAATTCAATTAGATTACAAATTCCTGCCATTATTCCCTTCCCTTCTTTTCCCATTTCATCTAGACTTTGTAGATCACTGTTGGGGAAGTCGGCTGATCTCATATAAATAATCCTCTAGATTTTAACTGGTGGGGACGCTGAAGTCCAGAGAGGGAAAGTAAGATGCCCAAAGCCCCCAGCTCGTCAGTACCTGGGCCAGTTGCCCACTTCCTCCCACCCCACAGGCTTGTCCCCTGCGAGCTGCCACTGATGCCCCCCAGTGCCCTTGCCAGGGTCCCTCCCCAGGCTCCTCCCTGTTAGACAGGTGGAACCGGCGCCTGTCCCCACCACAACACCACTGCCTGCGTGCTGGTCCTGGGCGTCTGGCCCCCTCTAGAGAGACCGGGAAGCAGGAGCCTCAGCCGCCCTGGGAAGGGCGCAGGTCAGAGCCAGGGGAACTTGGCTCGAGCTCCAGCCCAGCACCTGCCTTCCTGACTCTGAGCTTCTGAATACCACAGAAGTCTCCGGGGGCTGCCAGAGGGGTACAAGCAGGGACTCGGCAGGGAAAGGAAGAGACCTTGGCTTGAGGGGTGGGGCTGGGGTGAGGCTGGAGGCCCAGCTGCCTGCTGCACCAGGAGGGACTGGGAGGCAGTACAGGTGTCCGCAACAGCCTGTGCCTCCCTGCCTAGGCTGCGCCCCTATAGGTCTTGGTGGCATTCCCCATGCCATGAGCCCCTCTGCACCCTCCGCCTCAGGGTCCCACTCCTGCAGACTCTCGGGCTGGCACAGAGGGAGGCAGTGCCTGCAGGGAGGAGCCTCTGCAGACCACAGGCAGGGCCCCCAGGTGAGGAGGGGCATGGAGGCAGGGCCTGGCGAGAGCCTGGCAGTCGGGGTGGTGGCCAAGAGGCAGGAGACACCTGACTCAGGTCCCAGGCCTGCCCAGAGGCTCTCCCGACTGGAGGATCCCCCGGCGTGCCTGAGCGGTGACTCACTGCCATCCCCACCCTAGAGAGTCACCTGTTCCCCCCACAACCCTGGCATCAAAGCCCAAACTTCATGAGCCCAGGATCCGCCTTCACTCAGGGCTCAGAGCGGTGATGGGGAGGATGGGTGAGCTCGGTGTGCAGCAAGCCCCGAACTCCTCCTCTCCCATCGCCTCTTACGAGGAGGGGTCCTGGAGCCCCAGCCCAGGGAACACCTTGCCAGAAGTTTACCCTCTTCAACCCACTTCATGCCCACACCCTGTACTCTCTACAGTCTTGGGAACCAGTCAGACCCGGGCTTCCAGGTGGTTGGTGCCAGCTCACCCTGCCCAGCCTGTGGCTGCACGCCCAGCCTAGCGCCCACCTTCACCCGTCTGGCCACAGGGACACCCTTCAGCCTACCTTGCCTCCCACTCCTCTGGGGCAGGCCCAGAGCGGGATCTTGTCAGGGATGTGCCAGAGGAGCCCAGGGAGGCCAGGCTGCGGCAGTGGCGGGGGCGGGGCGGGCCTACCTGTCCAGCTGCAGTCGCAGGGGGGATGCGCTCTGGCGGATCTTGCTCTGAGCCTCAGCATGAAGCATGCCCTCTGCACTCTCCCCATTGATGGCCACGATGATGTCACCAGGCCGGAGGTCGGCAGCCTCAGCCTTGCCCCGTTCATTTACCTGCGAGGATGAGGACCAGTGAGCCTCCAGGCCCCCTGCTGGAGCACACAGGGAGGGTGCCCAGGAAAACAAGGGCTCCGCTGAGCCGCTGATGCCCCTCTCTGGCAACCATGTCTTCAAGCTAACCCGCTGGTCCCCTCCCAAAGCCCCAGAGGCCCCACCCACCCCCACCTGGCCGGCTAAGGGAGGCCGCCCACAGAATGCGTGATGGCAGGCTTTCAGGACTTGAGCTGGGAAATACTTTAGGATAGAGAGTCCTGCCCATGCAAATCACACCTTGTGGCTGCCTGCACACTGCCCTCTGCATGCGCCCAGCCTGGGCCAGCAGAGAGGACACGGCCCAGGACTCCCAGGGGCTCCCGTGCTGTGACCACCCAACGTGACTGCCGGCAGGTGTGGGGTGAGGGACCTGGGAGGAAAAGGCAGGCTGTCCTGGGCCTACTCCCTTCCACCCCTTGGAAGCCTGTTCCTAAAGTATCCCCCCTCCACGGAACAGGTCCCACACACGCACCCATCAGCACTGCCAGCCACAGGCCTCAGGCTCCAGAACCAAACAAGAACGGCACTGAGGGGATCCCGGTGGACAGGCTAGGCTTGACTTTCAGGGTAGCTCCTGCTGTCCTGGAACCAGTGCTTACCTTGGTCACCATGATGGGCGTGTGGAAATCCCTGCCCCCAGTGATGCGGAAGCCCCAGGGCGCCGGCCCCACCACATCCACAGTGAGCACCATACCTGAGGAAGAGAGAGTCAGGGTGGGTACTGCGTCCAGCCTACCCAAGGCAAAAGGGGAAAGTGAGTGACAGGCCCCGGAGCAGCCGGCAGGGCTGGGGTGCGCAGGGTGGGTAGAGGAAGTGATTAGGTCCCGCCCTCTTCACCCCTGAGTTTCACTTCCCCCCACCCTGGGAAGCCATGACTCTGAGTTGCCCTGCCCCCTGGGCTTCAGCTGGGCAGGCAGCTGTCCCGCTACAAGACAGGGGCTCCCTGGAGATGGGGGGCAGGAGTGCCAAGTGAAGGCAGACACCCACGTTTCCTCCCTCCCCCCTCCTCCGCCAGCAGGGCTACGTACACGTCTCTCTGCTGTTTGCTTCCTGTCCCCAAAACTGACAGCACAAGGTACTTCCTCCTCGCTCTGGGGGAGGCAGGCGGGTGGCCTAGGGACAGCGGGGCTCTGGCACAGGAGGGACGGCGGGGAACGGAGTTGGCCTCGCCAGGCTATGCGAAAAGCTGGCCATCCTGGGGCCTGGCTGGGGTCAGGCCAAAGTCTTCAGAGGGGCCTGCTGGCTGCCTGCCCAACCCTGATAATGTGGACAAGACCCAGCTCCCAGCTCCCCCGGGGCCTGCTGCCCTCTGAACAGCCCCGGCCTCATCTGCCAAGCGGAGCACAACCACCCCTGGCACCGGCCGGCTGGGTGAGCTGCCCGAAGCTGCCTGCCAGCTTCCACTGCCCCCTCTGCTGGGCATGGGAGTGTCCAGGCAGACCAGGCCCTTGTGGGATTTCCTGAGCCTCGAGGTCTGGAGCCAGGAGCTAACCCTGGCAGGAAGCTGCAATGCCAGGCTGGTCACCACCCAGCCCAGCACCCATCCTGGGGCTGCCCCAGGGGAGACCCAGAGACCTCACTTAGGTCTGGAGAGAGTGCTGCCCGATCTCTCAAGAACACCAGGCAGGGAGGGGACTCTCAGACCAGCGGGTCTGTCTGTCCCACCCCACGCAGCTGGCTTCCCCTTTGGCCCAGGCCTGGCCTCTGTCCCTCCTTGGGTCCCCAGGCCGGGCGCTGGAGACGCCGTCGCCCAGAGATTTCCCAGACCTTTGAGCTGGCCGGTGGACTCCGAGCTGCAGGCAGGCGCGGGGAGGAGCCCAGCCCTGCCGGCCCGGCTCTCCCAGCCTTTTCAGCTTGGAAGCCAGTGTAGCTCCGTGGTCCGGACCCGGGGACGGAGATGGGGGAGTCCGGGACCGGGGTCGCGGCCAAGCAGCTGCGCGGGGACAGCGGCTGTCAGGGGCAGCGGGGTGCGGGCGTGCAGGTGGGCGCGCGCTCACCTGGCTCCGCTCACCTGTCGCGCGGGCGGCCGGGCCGGGAGCGAGACGAGGAGGGAGCCCGAAGGGACGGCGAGGACCGCCGCGCCGCCGCCGCCGTCTGCCCGACTCTCGGGAGAGCGCGCCGGGGCTCTGGGACCTGCTCCGCCCATGTGATCCGGGGCCGCCCCTGCCGCGCCCCTGGCCCGGGAAGCCGCCGCCTCCTCCGCGCCTCCGGGTCCCGCGCTGCCACCTGGCCCCGCGAGGAGACGGTGACAGGCGAGCAGCCCGCGTCCCGCGCGCCGCCCGGAGCGCGGAGCAGCCGCTCAAGGGTCAGCGCCCCGCCCGGGCCCCTCCCAGGCTCTCCTGGGCCGGCCGCGTCGAGCAGCCCACTTCCAAGGGCCCCTGAGCGCCACACGCCGGCCGGGGCGGGCAGGCTGGCTGGGTCAGTCTGCGGTCCGCTTGGTTCCTCCACCCACTCCGGTGCGGCCTCGCACCCACAAATTCCAAAGCAGCGCCACCCCTCCGCCCCTCCCCACCCGTTTCCCGGACGCCAGTCGGCTGGCTTGGCGCGGCCGCCGGACTCCCTCTCCGCAGCGCGCCCAGCGTCCCTGCCGGAGATGCCCGCGAGCAGTTCTCCCTGTAAGCCCAGCTGCCGCCGGGGTCGGGAGGAGGTGAAGGGTGATGCCTGGCTCCAGGCCACCCTGCCTGGAGTCGCGCTGGAGGAAGCCAACCAACTGCCACCAGTGGCCTGGGCCACCCCTTCCCACCCACTCAGGCTCCGGGAATCAGGCAGGACAGCCAGGCAGGGGCCCAGGGGCCCCGTGGCTCCCCAGAGCCATACCTGGCAACCCTCACCCTGGGGAGCTCAGGGCCCAGGCAGCCGCCTCCTCCGTCTCCTGACTTGGCACTCCGGGGCACGCATCCGCGGCCGCAGCTGTAACCTGCCTGGCTCAGGTGTGAGTCATTGCTGGCGAGGTCCCTCAGGGAGGAGTGCCCTCAGCACCCTGCTCACTGCCTCTGCATCTCTTCCTCCCCACACCTTCAGCCGCTGTCCCTGGTCACCTCCCTGGCCCCACCTCCTGCACCCTTGGTCCTGGGAAAGTAGGCCACTTCTCACTCTCTCAGGGACTAATTCGAACCTCCTGGGGGCCACTTTGCCCGATGCACCTGCTCTACTACCTTGTTTTTTGGGGGGAGGGAATGCTGGGAATTGAACGGAGGGCTTCGTGCATGCTCAGCACTCTACCCCTGAGCTAGGCCTCCGCCCCTGGAAGCCTCCTGGGGGAGCAGGAAGCCACAGGTAGGGCAAGCGCAGCCTCTCACTGTGTGACCTTGGGCAATTTCCTCGGCTTTTCTAGGGCTGGGTCTTCCAATGCAGTAATTCATAGCTACCCCTCCTATTGTACATATCACTCTTCCATTGGCAAAGTACAAGGATCATGGAAGTGTAAAACTAGAGTGCCTGCCACAATTGAGGGGGTAGCAGGACACCCCTGCTCATCCATTCAGTCATCCCAACAATATTCATTCCACAAATATTTATTTATTTATTTTTGGTTTTTGAGACAGGGTCTTTCTTGGTGTTTAGTTCAAGCCGGCCTGGAACTCACTCTGTAGCCCAGGGTGGTCTCAAACTCATGGTGATCCTCCTGCCTCAGCCTCTACACACCAATATTCATTATTTTTATTTAATTTTTTGAGACAAGGTCTCACTACATAGTCCAGGCTGGCCCCAAACTTGTGACTCTCCTACCTTAGCCTCCTGAGTGCTGGGGTTACAGCACCACAGCAGACTTTACAAATACTGAGTGCCCACTATGTCAGAAACTTCCGGGCAGTCCTCAGAGGGAGCCTCCTCCTGCGTGCCTTGGACAGGCCCTGTATGCACCTCCAGGTCCATCCTCAGGGTGTCCTGGTCCGTGAGCTGTGGATCTACCAAACCCTCCTGAAAAGCACATCAGCTGACCCAGGTCACATGTCTCCATGACACAGAAGGGGCTTGTCCCTCCCTAAGTGACTGTGTCCCGGGGCAAGCCATCCTTGTGGGGGGGCACTTGACCCTCGCTTCTCCTGCCCCTCACACAGGCCAACCCCAGCCACAGCACAGAGTGGGCCCGGCAGGTGGCCCCACGCGCAGTTTGTTTGCTGCAGAGCCAGAGCGTGGACTGGGTTTCTGCCCAGGGAAAAGCAGAACTCCAAAACGTTTTCCGTGGAGAGAGCTGGGGTGGAGGAGCAGGACCAGGCCAGCGGGGCCTGAGGAGCGGTCATTTCCGGCGAGGATGGCCTGCACCTGCCACCGTAGAGCCAGGCAGTGGTGTGAGGGGTGGAGGAGTGGGAAAAGCAGGGCAAGAAGGTCTCGTTCTGCAAGCCGCCGTTCAACCTGCATGGGGCCAGGGCGCACCTAGGCTCAAGGAACCCGCCGGGGCCAGGCCACCGCCCTGAGGGCCAGGCCCTCCCTCCGTCCTGACAGGACTGGGCACTGCCGCCCTTCACAGCAGCCACTGGCTCTCCTCACCTGCCTGGGGCGGCGGCCCCCTACAGGACAGGTGGAGAACACTGGAGTCCCAGGAAGAACGTGAGAGCACCCCCGCCCTGGGCCACCCTGATGGCCCCTGAGAACCTCTCCAGAGTCTGGACAAGCACCGTGTGGCACTAGGCAGAGTGCAGGTGGCGAGGTGGAACCGACCTGAGCACTGAATAACGATGTGACTCAGACCCCGAATCTCTCAGGCTTCTCTCTCTCCTGTCAAATGGAACCCTAAACAGCTGGTCACAGGGCCTAACTCAGGAAGCACATGCATGGTGTCTCACCTGCCCTCATACACAGCTCTCCACAGCAGCCCAGGAATGGAGCTTCCCTATCCTGGAGGAGCAGTCAGCCCCGGGACTGTCCCCAGAAGCTACCAGACCCGTGGCTCTGAAACTTCAGGGGAGCAGAGTTGTTTTGGCTAGCCGTGCCCTGCCACTCCCAGCTTGCCGCAATCGATTGCTCAAAAACTTGAGCCCAGAGAACAAAATAAACAAGCACACAAGCTTCGGTGCAGAAACGCAGCGCACAGAAGGGAAACATTAGCAGTAGAACAGTTAGAAAAGTCGTGTAGTGCAGCAGCCCCACAGCGGCAGCTCCAAAGCAGCCTGCAAACAAGGCCATACTCCGTCCCCCAGCTCTGGCTTTTCCCTGGCCCTGTGACGTCCACTCAGCACTTCTGGTCCGACAGCTACCCGGTCCTGGGGCGGCTCCACCGGGCCTGCACCCGAGGGCTGAGATCTTGGAGATTGCCATGGGGCTTTCCCAGCCTCCCCTAGTGCACAACCCGTCCGACCTGACTGGTGCAGCCCACTGCAGGAAGAGCCCCACGGTGCTCGGGAGGAGGGACAGGACTCCGGGGAAAGGCTCTGCTACGCAGGTTTATTTTCTGTTCTCGTCCAGAAGGAGCAGGGACGCTGGGGGAGAGCTGGGTGGCGGGGACAGCAAACCGTCCCCCTGTGAGCCCTCTGGAGCGGCCCGGTGGCTGCCGGGAAGAGGAGGCCCTGGAGGCTGCGAAGATGCTGCCTCTGTCCCCGCTCGCTCCCAGCCCCCGCTGGAGGCCGGAAGGCAAAGGGACCGCGCGCAAGAGGGAGGCCCCTCCGGGCACAGGCGGCCTTTGGTCTCCATCAGGTCCTAGGCTGGTTCCAGTTAGAGGAACTCCACAGGGGCGAAGCTGGGCGCCGTCCCTGCAGAGGGAACGCGCGGCAGGCGGGACGTGGGGCCCCGGGTCTGGTCTCAATAAGGCCTGAAACAGTCTCCACTTCAAAGCAGACCTCTGTATTTGGGGAGGGGAGAAGGCCGAGCGCCTGTCAGATGCCTGTGAGCTGCGGGTGGGAATCAGTCCAGGGGGCTCCGAAGGGGCTCCGAGCAGAGGCTGCTGGGGTTTCCGCACATGCGGGCAGAGCAGGTCTTGGGGGAGGAGGATGTGGGGGCCCTGCCCCCCGCAAAGTGCTACAGCTCCCCATCCCACCCCACCCCATCCTCGCTGGCTCCAAGTTGCCATAAAGACCATTCACACCGGGGCGACATAATTTCCAGGAAATGTCCCAAATTTCTGGGTCCTCCGGGAGACACCTGAAAGAAGACAAAAAAGAGTATTTCCCACCCAGCCGAAACCACAAATGTGGGGTCGCCACCGCCGCCTGCTGGCCTGGCCCAGAACTGCAGGTGAGACCTGGTTCCCACAAGGGGAGACTTGATTTGCTTCCCTCACCCCTGCCCCCTGGCGACAGCAGCTTCGCTAGGCAAAAACGCCAAAATCAAATGAGAGCTCGCAGCACATGTATACCACTGCACACCGCACTAAATCTCTCCACTCTACCCCTTCTTTTATTCTTTTTCTTTTTTCTGAGATATGGTTTCGCACCGAGGTTCAGGCTGGCCATGAACTATGTACCGAGCAAAGGCTGACCTGAAACTCATAGCCACCCGCCTGCCTCAGCCTCCTGAGTGCTGGGATTCCGGGTGTGCACCACCACACCCACCTCTCCACCCTTCCTTATGAAAGCCAGAAAGAGAAAGATGAATCACAGAACTTTCGCCAGCAGGAACCGCACTTTGCTAGCATGGCATCCTCATTCCAGTGAAGGGTGGGTGAGACCTAGGAGACGGCCAGGCCGCTTGGGGGTACAGTGGGGGCTTCAGAGCCCTGTCTGTGGCAGTCTCAAGGAGCCCCCTAACATGGCAGGGGTGGAAAGGGTAGAAATCTAGGAGTGTGGGGAGAGTGAGCTTGGGGTAAGTTGATGCCCCTGGTCCTCCTCCCAGGTGGCCAGACTGACTTCAGCCCTGAGACGCCCTCACTGATGCCAAGCCCTGCCTAGAGTCCGCCTCTTCCAGGAAGGCTGCCCTGCTCTGCCCTGCCCTGCCTGGTCCAGACTGATGACCACCAGCCATGTGTGCAGTGGGCACTTGAACCACGTGAGTGTAATGCAGGGGTAGAGCCTTTTATTTTCTTTTATTTTAACTTGTGCACATTTGAGCAACTGGAGTGGCCAGCAGTGACCATTCTTGTGGGTGCCAATGTGCCGATGGGGCCTGGGGAGTGTACCCCAAGAGTCTGTAGAGGTTTGCAAAACTTTAGCAGCAGCATAAAAAAAATGCAAAAGCAAAAACGTACAGCGTAAGATAAAAATGTGTCCCTCACCCCAGAAGTAAGAACTATTAACACGTTATTCTTTAACAATCACTTGTGTGACTAGCTATGGTGGCACATGCTGAGATCCCAGCACTAGGGAGGCTGAGGCAGGAGGACTGCCAGATGCTCGAGGCCAGCATGGGCTACATAGTGAGTTTAAGGTCAGCCTGAACTACATAGTGAGACCTTGTCTCAAGAAACAAAAATCACTTGTGTATTGGAAATGTGGTCAGTGCTGAAGTATTAGGATTTAGATCAGAAAGGGCAAGATGCCACAACAAGGGTGTCTCTGTAGCCACCCCTGCCCAGGAAGCCCCGAACTCCTTGGCCCCTAAGGTCTGCTTGTTGAGGAGCAGGGCTTCTGGCTGCTCACTTCTGTCATGGCCCACTCTGTGAAGCTGAGGCCTGAACAGGGGCTGCCCTGCTCGGGGAAACAGCCACGTGGAGCCTGGTGGGGATCACCCTGAACCAGGCCAGGGCCACCTGAGGCTTCCTGTGTGAGTCCTGTGTCGGGGCTGCCTTGGGCCAGCAGGACGGGCCTGGATCTCTTGCTAAACCCTCTTCCTGCCATGGCAGAGGCAGGGCATACACAGGCATGGGGCCATGGCCTTCCCTCCAGGAGCCCTGCCCTGGGACACAGCAGGGGCTCCATCGGCACCCTGGGCCAGGCGCTCTGTAGGGCATGCAGGGAGGGGTAAGAGAAAGGCTGGCTTTGGGGGAGCAGCGGGGAAGCTGGTGGGAAGCTAGGTGGGTGTGGTCAGGCTAGCAGACAGCAGCAGCCCACCCAAAGGCGCCTGGGCCCAAGATCCCCTTCGCACCCCACAGGCACCCCAGCCCACATACCCACAAACCAGCCATCGTCACACTGCTGCATGACGTCCACCCGGTCCCCTGCACGAAGCTCTAGCTCGTCCTCGTTCTGCGGTCTGTACTGGTACATGGCCCGGTATCTGCAGGGGACGCAGCATAGCCAGAATTTTCCTTGCCCCTTCCCCAGGCTGGGTCGGAAGTTCAGGCTCAGCCAAGAGCTGCCACTTCCTATGAATGTCTCCAGGTCCCCCCAGTGCACTCCTCCCTGCACCTAAATCCCTTAGGTCAGTGGTGGTGCAGCAAGATGTCTGTATCATTAAGAGGTTCGCTATCACTGCCCCAGAAGCTCTGCAAGGACAAGCACCCCCTCGGAGGCGTTTCCAAGCCCAAGGTGAGGTCAGGTGCTCAGCACTGCCTGCAGTGACCCCGATCCAGAACGAGCACCCTCAGGTGGCAACTCACGGGGTCCAGTGGATCTGCGTGGTGCTGGACAAGGAGGTGTCCGAGGGATGGCTGGAGCCTGGAGGGTGCGACAGAGCTGGCCCAGGAGTGCTGAAACTCTGGAGGTCCACAGGAGGAAAGGAGGGTCACCCAGAAGCAGCACGGGCCAGAAGTGAACGAGGCGTCCCCCTCACTCTTGTGTACCCTACACTGCCGGGTCCCATCTCACAAATCCCTTAGGCCCAGGGGCCTGCTGGGACTCTTCCCCTTTCACGAGTGCTGGGAAGTTGGGCCCAGTAGGGTAAGCGACTGGCTTCCCCCTGACACGCCTCCTGTACTGGGGATTGAACCCAGGGCCTTTACACTGAGCTACATCTCCAACCCTCCCCTGCTTTGAGACAAGGTCTCACTAAGTTGTCCAGGTGGATCAAAAACTTGTGATCCTTCTGCCTCAGCCTCCCAAGTGGTGGATTATAGGTATCTAGCACTGTGCCCTGCTAAGTGACTGGGTTTCTGAGTGCCAGCATGGAATTCCGGGGGCCCCATGCAGGGATGCACCTTCTCAGAGAGGGGTGCCGGATGAACGGGTGCTCACATGGGCCACACAGCCCAGGGGACAGCGCCAATCTCCACGCTGGCTGTGATAACCTTCCGTCTAAACCCATCCATCTGCCCTCCGCAGTGGGACCCAGAATCCTCACTGTTCCGGGGAGAACACAGACCCAGAGGTTCTCAGTCACCTTCCCCGGGCTACACGGCAGGCAACTGGCACCTGCCTTGCAGATGCACTGTGCCCCAGGCAGGTGGCACAGGCGAATGGTGACAGAGTGGCATCTGCAAGGCCGCCAGGTCTGGGCAGGTGTTGGGGTCCCACCTAAAGCAGGCTGGCTGAAGTCTAGGGTTCCCAAGGCTGGCCAGGCTCTGCCAGTCACCCCTCTGCTCTGGCCTGGGAAGGACACCCAGGGGGCAGCAGCCCCGGCCATCTCACCTGGGCCTGGGGCCTGGGCTCGGAGAGGCCGGTGCGGCGGGGCGAGGCGTGGCCCCCCCAGTCGGCTGGGTCGGCAGGGCTGCGAGGGGCCAGGCGGGCAGTGGGGGCCAGGCGGGGGGACGCGGGCAGCTGGGGGCCGTCCTCGCAGACGCGGAGCCGGGGCTCACGGCACACCTGCACGTAGCTGGCGGGGAAGATGCCCTGGCGCCCCGTGCCCGTGATGCGCCCCTCGTACCAGTTCTCGTTCACCTTGCGGATCAGGCAGATGCGCTCCCCCTGCAGGCGGGGAGGGGTGAGTGCGTCTGTCCGGTCCCCGCGCCCAGGCTCCGTCCCTCCCCAGGGCTCCAATCACAGGAGAGCCCGTGGCTAATCACACGGGCGCAAGCCCGGCTCTGCGCAGTCCCGGCTGCGTGGCCTCGGGCGAGCCGCTCGTCCTCTCTGAGCTTCTCTCCTCCCGTGTCCAGCGTGGCCAGAGGCGCAGGCCAGGTGGACGGCTGGACCGCAGGGACACAGTCCAGTGCCCGCCTCCCACGCGAGGACAGCCTGTCACCTGTGCATCAAAACGCAATGGGCCCAGGGCAGGTGGCGCCCTCCAGCCCCCAGCTGACTGCCGTTAGGGACAGAACCACCACCACCTGGTGGGCTTCCTCTGCCCTCTCCGCCCAACCCCGTCCAGCCACCTGCTTCCCCTCGGTCCCCGGGGCTGGGTCCTCTGGGTGCCTCTCACTAGGCGCACTCATGCACTCTGCCCCAGAACAAACCCAAGACCAGTTCCTTACTTTCCAGGACAGCATTTTTCAAAATAGCTTCAAATAATCTATAGTTTAAAAAAAAGTCCTAACAGCAGCCACAGCGCACACACCGCATCTGCCTAGAGTCCAGTAAGGTAACCCACTCGTGGGCCTTTGCACTGAGCTGCATCTCCAGCCCTTTTCTTATTTTTTTTTATTTTGGGACAGGGCCTCACTAAATTGCCCAGGCAGGGCTCCAACTTGCAATCCTCCTGCCTCAGCCTCCCAGAGGGCTAGAATTAGAGGGTATGCCACCAAGCCAGGCTCCTCTTTTTTACAGTTTTTTTTTTTTTCCCAGTACTGGAGATCGAACCCAGGGCCTTGTACATACTAGGCAAGGTGCTCTACCACTATTTTTTTTTTTTTTTTTTTGCGGTACGGGGGATCGAACTCACGACCTTGCGCTTGCCAGGCAGGCGCTTAGGCCACTGAGCTATACCCCCAGCCGCTCTACCACTATTATAACCCAGCTGAATAAAGTACCTTTTCTGCAGAGAATGCAGTCTAATATTTTATCTATTCCTGTAAAAATACAGAGTATGATCCTCATGGCCTACCAACATGCTGCTTAAAAACGAAACTCTAGAAGTTTGTAACAATCTTTTAAAAATGGACTAGACTACGGGGAACATATTCCAAGATACTGGGGAGACATCTGAAACACTGCACGCAGGTGGGTGTGCCTGACTATTTAATTTTATTTATGTATTTATGTATTTATTTATTTATTTCTGTCTGTCTGTCTTTTAGAGACAGAGTTTCACTATGCAGCCCAGGATGGCCTCAAACTCACAGCGATACTCCTGCCTCAGCCTCCCAAATGCTGGGATTACAAGCATGCACCGCCATGCCCGGCCTACCTGACTGTTTAAAAAAGCATTTCTTCTGCTCTTTCCCTACATCTTCCCCTGTGTCCACCCCACCCGCCACTCCCTGGTCACCTTGCGGAAGGACAGCTCCACCTCCAGGTCCCCCTTGAAGGTATACTGGGCCACGGCGTCTCCATACTCTACCACCTGGTAGGTGGGCGGCTTGATGGGCTTGGGGACCTCATCTGCAGGCAGCACCTGCAGGAAGGAAGGCACAAGACAGCTGTGGTGCTGGCACCTGCCCGGCACCCCCAGGCTTCCCTGGAGGGGCAGAGATGGCGCAGGAGCTCCCCTGGCCAAAGGGAAGACATCAACTCCAACACCACACCATACACGGCCCTGGCAGTGGCCAAAACCAAGGGAGGCTGAGGTGCAGAGTCCATGAAGGCTTCCTAGCCGCGCATGGAGGCGCACACCTGTGACCCCAGCACTTGGGAGGCTGAGGCAGGAGGATCGCTGTGAGTTCGAGGCCAGCCTGAGCTACAGAGTGAGTTCACGACTAACCCTGAACTACGGAGTGAAACCCTATTTCTCCAAAAACCAAAAAGGAAGAGGAGGTGCAGGATGTGGAGGAGGAAGGGGCAAAAGACACAGTGGCTTCCTAGAGGGAGAACCTCAGCGAGGTTCTGGAGCAGGCACGGGGGAGGGGGGGGGCAAGTGCAAAGGTGGAAGCTCATCAATTAGAGAGTACACTGGCCGGAAGCAGGAAGTGAGGGCTGAGTCACAGGGAGGGCCAGGGGACCTGTTCTAGGCCGAGGACTTCACCTCTCACCGCTGTTGAGAACCAGTATCCCTTGGCTCAGTGTCTTGCTTCCTCCTCGTATCCCTCAATAGGTGCCCAATCCTAATGCTCTCTGTTTCACCCTGCTCATAAAAATTAAGAACCCAATCAATCATTTCACTAAGATACAAATAACCAAGCCAGCTGTGGTGGTACAAGCCTGTATCCCAGCACTTGGGAGGCTGAGGCAGGAAGACTGCTGCAAATTCAAGGCCAGCCTTGCTACATAGTAAGCTCAAGGCCAGCCTGAACTAGATGGTAAGACCCTGTCTCAAAAAGCGAAACAAAATAAACAGAACAGGATATAAATAACTGATGGAGTAGAATCTTGTGCACTGTGAGATTTCAGATTCAGAGAGGTTAATCTGTTGGCAAGGGAGCCTTCTGATTCCTATTAAATCAAGAACCTGAATTAAACAACAGCCTGACCCATGGGTCAGACAGGAAGTGACAGAGGAAATGAGATAATTCAAGTCGAATGAAAAAACAAAAATCAACACTTGGGAGATGCAGCCAAAGCAGTATTTAGAGGTAAACTTAAGGCATCAAATGTTTTTATTAGCAAAAAGCTTTAAATCAATAACCTAAATGTGCCCTCTAAGAAGGTAGAAAAGAAAGGACAAATTAAATCTAAAATAAGCAAAAATAAGGAAATAATAAAGAGGCAGCAATCAATGAAATTGACCAAAAGGGGAAGAAAAAAACCTGTAGAATTAAGAAGGGCAAAAAAGAAAAGGATGAAATGCATTGTGTGCATGGGCCAACTCTCCACAAGAAATGGAGTCACTATGTAGCACAAACATGCAGTAATGACAATTTTAAAAAAAATTTTTTTAAATATCTCTAGCCAGAATATAAACTGTCAATACCAAAAATGAAAAATAGATCACATTTTAGAGACATTAAAAGGATAATAAGCCAGGTACGGTAGTACATGCCTCTAATCCCAGAACTCTGGGAGGCTGAGGCAGGAATATCACAAGTTTGAGCTCAGCATGGGTAACTTATCAACTTAGAAAGAACCTGTCTCAAAATTAAAAATAACAAGGGGCTGGGGATATGGTTTTGTGCTCGAATGCTTCCCTTGAACGCATGAGGCACAGGGCTCAGTCCCCAGTGCCCCCCCAAAAGAAAGTTAGGGGTGTAATCACCTACCATGAGCAAGTTCATGCTAATAACTTAGTTATTCATTTATTTTTTACAGTACTGGGGATTAAACCTAGGGCCTTTACAGTACGTTATATCCCCTGCCCTTTTTTATTTTCTGAGACAGGGTCTTGCTAAATTGTCCAGGGCTGGGCTGGCACTTGAAATCCTCCTGCCTCAGCCTTCCAGAATTGCTCAGATTATAGTCATGCACCACTATATTCCTTTTTTTTTTTTTTTTTTTGTCTTTTTAAGACAGGGTTTTGCTATGCAGTTCAGGCTGCCCTTGAGCTCACTTTACAGCCCAGGCTGGCCTCAATCCTCCTGCCTCAGCCTCCCAAGTGCTGGGATTACAGGCGTGCGCCTCCAGGCCCACAGTTACCACTACATTCTTAAAGACACAAAAACTAAAGATAACCTATGCTAACCTAGGCTTCTATCAGGCCTAGCATTTGTCTCTCTGGAATGGAGAGATCTGCTTTATTTGTTTATTTTTGTCTTTTTGAGACAGAGTCTCACTATGTACTTCAGGCTGGCCTTGAACTTACTTCATAACCTAGGCTGGCTTTAAGCTCACAGCAGTCCTCCTGCCTCAGTGCCCCCGAGTGCTGGGATTACAGGTGTGAGCCACCTCACTGGGCTAAACCTGCATTATTTAGTAACTGTCTCACTGATATTCTGAAATGCCACCTGTGAAATTGAGACAATCTCTGGCCCCTAGCAGTGGGAGGAACAAAGGAGGTTAACACACCCAAAGTACTATTTTCATATGATTTCCAAAGTGCCATACAGTTTGAATTCTTGCTAGTTATGATGAGGATTACTTACAAGGACAGCTTTATTATTTTACGTTTTTTGGTTTTTTTTTGAGACAGGGTGTGTTCTCCTTATGTCACCCAGGCTGGCCTTGAACTCACTAAGTAGCCCATAGAACTTTTGGTGCTCTGCCTGCCTCAGCCTCCTGAGTGCTGGGATTACACACCTGGCTCGGGGATAGCTTTAGAAAGATGGATTCGGAATGGTAAAGGCCCAGGATGGGGTGGAGGCTTTGAGTCGAGGATCAGGGCCACACCATCCTCTCCTGGGGTGGCTACCCTCATCCAGCAACCAAGCACATGCTGAGCGCTAGGCGAGGCTCAGGAGAGGTGGCACCTGCCCCTCGGGGCGCTGCACGCTAAGTCTCTCAGCGTGGGGGCCGGCCCTGCCTGGCTCCCACCGACGCCCGGCCGTGCCCTCACCTCCACGTAATTAGCAGGGAAGATGCCCAGCCGGCCGTGGTGCTCCCCCTCCAGCCAGTTCTTGTCCACCTCCTTGTGGATGTACACGATGTCGCCCTTCTGCAGAGTCAGCTCCCTGCAGGCCAGAGCCCCAGGGCACAGCGGGCTGAGGCCTCCTGACTTCCCTCCCTGCAGCAGGCCCTGCCCAGTGACCCCGAAGCCCCCCACCCCGCCCTCCTGCGGGTGCCCGCTGGAGCCCCCGCCCCCACCCACGCCCGAGCGCAGAGACTGCCCAGGCTGTAAGGGAGCAGGCTGACAGGGCCGCTTACTTGGGGGACTGTGCCTGGAAGTCGAACTTGAGCCTGGCAGCCTTTCTCTGGGCAGGGAGAGGGCAGAGTGGGCTTCCTCAGTCACGCAGGGGCCGTGACCCCAGGCCCACCCCACACCCTGACCCCAGTGGCCGCCTGTACCTTCTTCTCTTCCTTCCTGGCCGGGCTGCTGCCCCGCTGTGGGACACTGGGGTCTGTGGAGAAACGTTTCTCAGCTGGGGCAGGGCACTTCTGGGGGCAGGGGCGTGGGGTGGGCTTGTGCCCCCTCAGGGCAGGCTGGAGGGAAGCAAGGGGCTGTGCCCTCCCTGTCCCCTCTGGGGCACAAAGTGGATCTGGTCCTTACCAAGGGCTGAGGACGGGTAGACAAAATCTCTACGACCTAGGAAGGGGCTTCCTCCTCCATCCGCCATTCTGTGGGGGCTCAGGGGTCGGGAGGACCCCAAGTAAGGCGAGTGCGGGGAGCTGGAGCTCCAAGCCGGGGCGGGGCTGCAGGAATGCAAGGCCTGAGTCACCTGTCCGGGGCTTCGCGCCCCAACCGGCTCAGCCCGCGCGCACTTCCCCGGACCCCCAGATCTCCCTCTGGACCCCGATCTCCCCCTGCAGGCCGCCGCGTCCCGAGGCGGCTCCCAGGTCCCCAGGGTCTCCCGGGTGCTGGGCTCGCAGCAGGATGTCCGACTTCCCGAGCTCGGCTCGGCCGGGGCAGGAACGGGTGAGGCCGGGGCGGCAGAGGCCCGGGCGGGGCGGGGTGCGCGCGGGGCGTGGTGGGGCCTCTGTCCCCGCCACCCAAGTTCTGGGGCCCCGCCGCCCAGGGTGGGGGTGCGGGTCGGCCCTGCAGACGGCGGCGCCCTGCGACCCTCCCGAGATCCTCGCCACCTTTAGCCCTGCAGGCCCCTCCCCGCCCGCCCTCCGTTCCGTCCCGTCCCGTCCCGGCGCCACGTCCCCGCCTGCCCGCAGCGCCCCGTCCCACACTCACCCGGCCGCGGGCCGCTGCTCCGGGGCCCGTCTGGGCACCTGCGAGGTCTGTGCGGGAGAGACTGCCGCTGAGGCCCGGACCCGAGGCCACCTCCCCCGGAAAAGTTCGCAGCCGGGCGGGCAGGAGGCGGCGGGAGGGGCGGGCGGGACGCGGGGTCCTAGAGGCGCCGCGCGGGAGGGGAAGGGGGGCAGAGGAGGGGGAGGAGGGGGACCTGGGCCCGGGAAGCCCGGGAAGCAAGGCGGGTGGGGTCGGGATCCCGGGTTGCTGGGCAGGGCCCAGCCGGACGCCCCAGCCGGACCTCAGACTGACGAGGAGTGGCCTGTGAGGGCTCCTAGGGGTCACTTGGAAAGTGGACGCCCCGTGTTTTGGAGAGGAGTCAGGGATGACTTCGCCCAAGGTCCCCGCAGCCTCCTTGCGCTCCACCCTGCCTGGCTGCACGGCCAGGGTTCCCCCAGGAGGACCCAGGGGCAGACACTGGTACCTTGGGGGACGGCAGGCGGGTCTCAATGGCCCGCAGGTCCTTGTCCAGCTCAGCGCTCAGCTTGGCCAGTTCTCGCTCCAGCAGGACCTGGGGGTGTAGAGAGACGGGTCAGCGAGAGGCATGCACTTTGTACGTGCGTGCATGTGTGTGTGTGTGTGTGTGTGCGCGCGCACGCGCGCGCACGTGTGTCAGGGACTGGTCAGGTCACCATGCTGGGATTTAGGGCAGCTGGAAGCTCCAGGGCCTGGGGGCAGATGGGGCTCCAGGTGTCAGGAGGACATCCCTGGCCCCTCTGCGGGTGGCTCCAGCTTGCGGGGGGTGCCTTACTACTTCCTGCTGCCCTTTTTGCCTGTTACTCCTCTGTCCAGGCCTGTGGAGCCATCTCCTCACCGTGTCCGCAGCCTTCCACTGCCTGGCTTCCAGGCACCCAGCCAGGCTCCCCTGACGCTGCCCATCCCAGGGGGCTGAGCATCACACACATACACACACACACACACACACACACACACACACACACGCATGTGTACACACACCCCTGTGACGCTGATTCCCATCTGCCCCCTGGTAACGGTGACAGAACCCAGGGGCGCTTGACCACCAAGCTACATGCCCTGCCCTTTTTTAAACTCTGTATTTTGAGACAGAGTCTCACCAAGTTGCCCAAGCTGGACTCGAACTTTTGGTGTCCCTGCCTCAGCCTCCCCCGGGGAATGCTGGGATTGTAGGCGTGCGTGCACCACCCCGCCCGGCCGCCCTCGTGTCTCTTTGGACCTCAGCAGCATGACATCATGTGGCTACTTCCTGACAACCCCGCTCTACGCGGGTGTGCCCCGCCCTGCTCCTGCGGCATGGAGCATGTGTTCAGTATGTATTTATCAAGTGCCTCTTGTATGGCAGGCACTGTCTGGGTGCTGGGATAGAGGCAAACTCTATGGGACTGGAGACAGACCCGCTGGCCTGTGCCCATGGTCCCGGGGGCCCCCACACAACCCAGAATCTCCCTCAATCGCCCCCACCCCGAGTCTGCACTCACTTCGATGGGCTGCGAGGGCTTCTCAACAGGGTCATCCACCAGCGGCTTCTTGGGCTGAAGGCGGAAGAGGGTGTCAGGGGTGCACCCACTTCCCAAATGCTTCAGCTGAGGGGTGCGTCCACTCTCAGAGCTCCTGGCCGACACTCACCTTCTGCCCAGTCTCTAGTTCTTGCAGAAACTGGTTCCAGGAGTCTTCTGTCCAGACACTGTCCACTTTTTCCCGGCGTCTGGGCACCTGCTTGGATGTGGGTGGCCATCAGCTTGGGTAGCGGGGTACTGGCTCACAAAGCAGGCTTTCGGGTCCTGCCCTGCCCCCACCCCATCCCTCTAAGGATCCGAAAATGAAAGGGCACTTCCTCTGCCAGACAGCAGGCAGCCGGGCCCAGGGTGGGGAGCACGCTGGGGGCTACCTGATTTGGGCGCTGGAGTCCCAAGGACGCTGCCCCAGGAGTAGAACTGAAGGTGCTTCTAGGTAGCTCTTGGGAGTGATCCCAGCTTCTCCTGCTGGGCGGGAAGGATATCCTTTCAGCTTCTTCTAGGGAAACTAAGGAATAAGGGAGCCCATAGCCCTGGGAAAAGGAAGTGCACCCCCTCCTTCCACCACGGCCCCATCCCCATGGAGGGGCCTGTGCTGCCTCTGTCTGCCCTGGACCCTTCCTGCGGAAATAGTGCTAGACAGTGGCCAGTGTTCTGAGCTCCACCTCTTGGTAGCAATGTGACCTTTCGGCAACTTAGATGGCACCTCAGGCTCAGTACCTGTGAGATGGAGGGAATGCGAGCCGGGACCCCAGGAGAAGCGCTGACACAAACCTGCTTCGTGGGGGCACCAGGCCTTCGGTTAAACCGGCTGCCATGGCTGGGCGGTCCCACATCATGACCCTCCTATTCCAAGGAGTCCCTGGGCAGCCCTGCCTGGAGTCCTGGGCCTGTTACTTCTGCTCCCTGGGCCTTGGTTCCATGGGGAGGGGGCTGCATTCAGTGGCCTCAGCTGTGTGACCATCCCAGCCAGCAGGGCAGTGGGCTGACCCATCTCCTGCAGCTTCCCCAGGTCTCCCTTCTGACTGGCTGTAATGCCCGTGTCTGTTTTGAGTTTGAAAGTTTCTACCAAGCGCAAGCACTGTATCCAGCTTATCAAACGATGGAATGTCTACCCGCAGGCTCGGGCGCTGTTGGCTGCAATTATGACACCACTCTGATTTTAGCAATAATAAAAGTGATCATGAGAATGGAATGTGTCACTGCTAATCTAAGGAGGCCGTGGCCCTCGCTGAACCTGTGTATTACTCATGTTTGGGCAAACTCGCTGCGTGCCAGGCATGATGCAGGGGGTCCCCGCGATCTCACTCGATCCTCACCATCACCCGAGGGTCCTCGCTCACGAGAGGGCCCGCTGAGGCTCAGCGTGGCTAAAGGCAGCGCACTGGCTTGAACCCCAGCTCTGGGTCCAGTCTAGAGATGACGATGGTGGTGACGGATCATCAAGAGACACCGGCCAGTCACGGCAGTGCTTGTGAGCCAGTGAGGTCCCGGCAGCTTGTGGGTTTCACTCTGAGAGCAAAGCTCCCAATCGTCTCCTGTGAAAGGAGAACTCTTGCTTTGCAGCCACATCCAGGCAGGAGCCAGGCTCATCCATGCTTCTTTTTTCTCTTAAGTGCCAAAGTGGATGACCACAGGTCCAAGCTGCCTTCAACAGTTCTGTCCACAGGGCCCTGACACTCCCTCCTCCCTAAAGTGGCCCGTGGCTCTTTGGGGGGATAGGTTCCTCCTGACGGCTACAAACCCTGCAAACCTGAGGCAGTCATTCCTGGAACAGCCGCATTTCCCCTTTTGCCCTGCGGGTCAGAAAATCAGGTGGTGGAAACCTGGGGACCAGAGGGAGCCTAGTGCCACAGCCAGACCCCTGTGAGGGCCGTGGCCACGAGGGGGCGCAGATCCCGCGAGGAGCGCAGGGCCTCCCGCAGCTCCTGCCCACCGCTCACCCGCTGGAAGTCGGGGCCGTGCCAGTGCTGCGGGTAAATCTTTGCTGGGACCCTGGATGCCTGGGGTCTGCAGAGGGGGCACAGGAGATCACTGTGGGTAGAAGACAGGCAGGGGCGGGGAGGGGACCATTTATATTTCCAGTGCAGAACCACCTTCACCCTAGCTCCTGGGTGGTCAGTTCCCAGGGACACCCAATGTAGGCTTTGCCTGTGGGCTTCCCCTCTTCACAAAATCTTCAAAACAGCTCTGGGGTAGGTGGTGGCCCCATGGCACAAGCAAGGAAAGACAGGCCCAAGGAAATCTGGCCGGGGTGGCAAGGGAACTGGGGCTTTGTCTCTTTGTTTGTTTGTTTGTTTGTTTGTTTTGAGACAAGGTCTCATTATGTAATTCAGGCTGGCCTTGAACTCACAATGTAGCCCAGGCTGGCCTCAAACTCCTAACAATCTTTCTGCCTCAGCCTCCCAAGTGCTGGGATTACAGAGGTGAGTTACCACACCCGGCTGAAGCTGAGGTTCTTAATTACCACCTGCCAGGGGAGCTGAACTCTCTGAAAGCTACCAACACCTTTCAAGCAAGCTACGCCACCCGCCCCACCCTGCACACCTCGCCCCCACACAAGCACCAGGCTGGGGTGACGAGTGAGCCACACCGCCTCACCTCTGGGTGGGTCCTGGAAGGTCCAGTCCTGCTGCAGGTCTGGGGAGCAGAGAGGATCAGGTCACAGGTGGAGCGGAAAGTGATTCCGGCGCCCTGGGCAGCTGCTGGGCCGCTCCCAGCCTCCCTCCCACCTCCCAAGGGGCTGAGAGCTGAGTCAGGGCCCCAAGAATGTCCCGAGGGAGGGAAGGAATCAGGAGGCAGGAGGCAGCTCTTGGGAGGGCTTGAGATGCCTCTGGCAGACCTTGGGCCCTGGCAGCCGAGCGCGCAGCCCTTCTCAGCCGTTCCCTACACACACACACACAAAACACACACACACACACACACACACACACACACACACACACACACACACACACAC